TTTGTCATAAAAGAACGATGGCTTTTCTCACCATGGCTTATTAATGCAAAAATATTAGTAGTAGAGTTATTGCTCGCGGACGTTCCGATCAAAGTAAAGCCGGACCGTTCTGTCACGATAGCGGACACTTAGCTCTCTGCATTCCTCACTAAAACGAAATCAAAGTCGTGGCCTCGAAACGACCTTTCTGCTAAAGCGTCCCTAAAAAGGTTACCTCCCACAATCCACCCGAGTTGTTCATTCTCTAGGGGTTTTAATGCTTTTTACTCCTTGAATCATCCTCACAAGTTGAGCAGGCATCGACTGCTTTCCCGGAGCACTTTTATGAACGGAATCGACCGATTACCCATACTGTGTATTATACAAGTCAGGCCAATGGATTAACTCGAATTTTGCCAATGGTTTTTCCTAATTATTCTGTTTTTTTTTTAAATTTCTTTCATATGACTGTAGTCAAGTCTTTCATCTTCTCTCACTCATTTAACACATGATTTATGCAAGTCACATATCTTCTCTTCAACTTCGAAGGCCTCTTGTGAAGCTCAAATCAACATATTCTGATCCATTGTTTACCAGTTTTTATTTACAAAACTTCCATAGGAAGCATGACGCATAACATCTATATTACATACAGTATATACAATCGCGTTTGCGAAGTTACTACAAGAGCATATATATTAGAATTAACAGCTCTAGTTGTCTCTCCGATCTTGTTCATTCAACTTGGTTCCTGCCTTTGGAGCATCAGCACCTTGCCCAACTCCACGTTCGACTTGCTCCTTCAATTTTTTGGCCTGCAAAAACCATGAGCTAATTATTTCTCGAAGGCAGAGTATCGGGAACCACTCACCATTTCTTTGCCTTCTCCGGGAATCACTCTGGGGAGATCTTCGGGCTCATTCATTTTTTCTTCAATCGACTTCGTCTTATCCAAGCTCTTGTTAGCGGCTTCTGAGTAATTATCACGAATGTCACGTTTCTGCGCTTGAGCACCTTGCATATTGCCATTCCGGATACTTCGGACGTAGCACATAGGGACACTTGTCGGGTAGGCTTTTTGTAGAAGAATTCTCATGTTGCTGTTCATATTTGCAGTGTTGCAGAGCGTGTTTGTTCTGCAACGAATGGCCATCAAACGTGACTTGAAGGCCAGTAGTAACTGGTAATCGACGGAACACAGACAGATTAAGAGAAACATATCAAGCACAACGACAGAAAAAGGCTGATCGCCTGGAAGGAAACGTGAGACCATTCTTTCCCCATGGAATAAGTCAGAGAGGGAGTCTGAGGCGTCCAACTGAACCTCTCTCTAGGGCTTGCAGATCGATCTCTAGTCGCCAGCTATTTATATGCGTGCTGGGATGTTTACGGCATACCACGAGACAACTAGCTTGTTTACGTGCCACGTGAAAACCACAGTTCTAGTAATCGGCGAAATCGTTCCCGACCATCGGTGAGGGATCTTGAACACCTGTGTCCCGCGCAGCGAATATTAGAGAAGATTAGGGCAGAGCTTTAGGGGCATGAGCAGTGCCGAGGTGAATGCATATTAGGAGGTTTTTACGTGGTCGAGTAAAAAGGAAAATCTCAGATGTCCTCCCTTTACTTACCCTCATAGAATGACTTTTTTACTTTTTCAGCTTTACTTGTTGTTTGAGATTACCAGCAAGTGGACATAAAGCAAACATCTATTTGTTCCAACCAGGCTGAATGTTCCATTCCCCTCCATTCGGGATTTCTGGTTCCATTCCCTTTCAGGTGAGATTTCTGATCCAATCCCTTTCAGACGAGATTTTTGTTTCTTATCCTGAATTCCCTGAGCATCGGTTGTTTTCACTAAACAGTAAATAGACATGCAGAACCGAAGATCTCGCTTCTCATGATTCAGCAGTAAACATTCTTCAAAAAGCTGTTTTTATTTCAGTAGGCAGCAGAGGGATAAGCCGTTCAAACACCACCGAGGAGATGAAACCCCAAAAACCGCTTCGTTGAGAACTTGGCGAAGAAACCTTCGATGAACATTTTGAGAACGATACCTATCTACATTTTTTGGGCACAAAGGTATGTAATGAATAGTTTCAGCACAACCCATCTCTCTCCTGGCTCTCGCTGTCAATTACCTTGTGAGTTAGGGACGTTCGTGTAGCTGCAAACATAACCGAAAGGTAAAACCCCGCTTACTGCGGTGTCCACCCTTTTTTGAACTCCGATCCCTGAATCATCGTCGAATCACTAGAAACCCAAGAGCATTTGCTTTGATGTTTACAAAAATCAGCAGCTTGCAACGCAAAAATCACTGG